TGGACACCGTGGCTACAACAATGGACTCAAATGTAACCCACTCAACAGCCCCTGACACGAGGTCTTCGACAGTCTATCACAACGCCATGGTTCTCATTGTATGATGGTTTAATTCCTTGTTTCATAAAACTTTTAATGTTTTCTTGCATTTCTAAACAAGATTTTGTTGGAAAAACAGGGCCACTGTATATATTACATATATTATGTGATGGTGATTAAATGCATTTACTGACCAGTATTATAATTAGTTCCTTGGTACTTTCAAGATGAACCATAACATTCTAGTAGTTTACAATAAACAGTTAAGAAACATTATTGGTGATAGTAGCTCTATCATGGTATCAATCATTTGGTCTTCCTGATGCTTCCTCCCTACCCTGGATAACTGAACAGTCCTAGAATAAAGAAAACCTAGATTTCCAAATTGGGTAGATAAATAGACTTCTAACAGAAAGAATAATTCAGGACAGTGAAAAGAAAACTGCCAGTTGAATTTAGTGACTTCCTAGAGGCTCATTATGAAAGGCCTCACTGAATTTGGCAGATAAAATAATCCCCAGGAGTCTTGCTTTGGAAGCTTAACCATGATGCATATCAGCTAAAATTTATAAAGTGCTTATCACGTCCAGTGGTGTAACTAACTGTTATGTAAATTATATTTCTTGTATACAGATAAGGAAACAAATATTCTGAGAGGTTAAATCAGAGGTTCCAAACTTATCTAGCATATAGCCTCCTTTTCAGAAGCAAAATTACTCAGCTCTCCCCAAGCAATTAAAAACTTGTGTACCTAATCCAGAAACCAGGTAAAGCATTGGTATCTGCTATTGCACAGTCCCTTACATTTGGTCCAAGAATCCCCAGGAGGAAGTACCACCCATGTGGAAACACTTTTTACAAAGGACAAAGGAAAAGTAAATGGTGTAAATGTATTCAAATTAATGACTAAAAAGGCTCTAGCAGAACCTGCAAATAAGGCCTTATTTTGAAAAACTGTTTTAGATAGATATGAGAAATATCCTCTCTCTCAGTGTTTTCCAAGAAATCTTTTTTGACATGAATGTTGATCCCAGGATTGAGTGGTTAGCCTCCATTTGTGATCTGATGTAATTGTTCTCCATTTTATGAAACATTGACAATTCTGACCTCTTTGTGTGAAAAGCTATCAGTAATCTCTCAGTTTTTCATACTTGGGTGGCCTGTGTTGTGATGCTGAAAGCTATGCCACCAGTATTTCAAATATCTCTAGGGTCACCATGATGAGCAGGTTGGAGCTTCAACAGACTGGGGAAAAGCGCAGGCTATGCACTTCTGAGGGATTAACCACTGAAAACCTTCTGAACAGTGAGGGAAACGTGATCTGAAATAGTGAAGATGTTCCTGTCAGTTTGGAAGGCATGCAAAATAGAACCAGGGGACTGCTGTCTTCTCAGAGCCCACTCTAATGGCCTGGAGCAAAGTGTTCATGGCCTTTGTTTGCTGATGGCGCACGACTCAAAAGAGAAAAAAAAAACAGATGTAAAAATCCATCGATAATTGAAGTATGGAAAATACAAAATAAGACTCTAGGACTGATATCCTAGTAGTTAATTAGCTGAAATGTACTAGTATTGGCTATTTTGAATCAGGAAATACTTTACTACACAGAAAGGAAAGTTCAAGAGGAATGGCTTCACATTCAGTCAAGAAGAACATTTCAAGAACTATCTTGAAGCACAATACTGTTTGTAATAAGATAATGTTTATAAAAATAAAAGAAAAAAACAGTTAGTGCTAAAATGTATACATTAACCACTAAAGCAAATGATGAAGGAAGAAATTTCATATTTCTACCATCTCCTCGAGTTTGAAATTGATCAGACAAGGAATCAAGCTACACTGACCATTATTGATGATTGGAATGTGGAAACTGGAAACAAGATGAAAATAGTAATCCATTGTGCACTGAAAGCATTAGTTGAAACAAGGCTCCGGGATTTGACTGAATGTAAGTGAAATGCTTCCACAGGTTGATGAAGCACTGGAAGCACAAGACTAGGTTCATATGTGTCCATTTGAAAGAAAAGTGGCCAAAAAGAATTCAGAAGATATAGAATAGTATCACTAATATTATAGTAAGTAAATTTTTGTTGGTAATAATTTAAAACTGGTTGCAGCAGGGAGCTGCCTGACTTTCAAACAGGATTCAGAAGAGAACATAACAAGTCACAAGAGACATCAGTGCTGACACTAGTGGGATCTTGGCTGAAAACAGAAACTACCAGAAAGATGCTTATTTGTATTTTATGGACTGGGTATAGACCAGGGGGATAATAACACGAGTTGGATGACATTGGGAAGAGCGAGGAAGTATAGAAGACATACTTTACATGTTTATGAGGAGAAACCACCTGCTGGGAAAAGGCATCATGGTTTGTCAAGTGGAGGGTCAATGAAAAAAGGAAGAGCATCAAGTTGAGAGATTGACACAGTAGCTGCAAATACAGGTGTAACCATAACAAATGAGAGGATGATCCAGACCGGACAGTCCTTCCTTCTGTGTGCAATGGGTTGCTCTGAGTTGGGAATGACTGGAAGGCAACAAACCTATGGCTCAGCAGTATCTCCTGGCAGTGAGTTTGGTTTGGGTTTGGATGTGTTAAGGAGGCATGATTAAGTTATAGTAGTGAGGATTTCATTCTATTATACATAGGGTCACATGGTGAATTTGAACTGTCTTGATGGTATCTTGATCATCATCAATAAGTTGTTCAAGTCCTTTTTGCTTTCAGCAACCATGGTTGTATCATCTCTATATTGCAGGTTATTAATAAGCCCTCTTCCAATCCTAGTAGAAATAATTTTATACTAGAGAATTAATAGTTTGATCAATGAGAGTGTAGAATTCAGAAACACTGACTATATGATAAATTATAAATCTCATCTTGCTACACCAAACATATATATATATATATTTCATTAAAAGTGTAACTGCCAATAGGTAAAAATAGCTGTATTCATCATTATGCAAAAGTAAAATAAACTTTATAATATTTAATATATCAACAAAAATAGATTATAAAATAATTGAAATATAGATGCTTTAATATATATATTAATACTACAATGGGGAGCATATTCTACATTTTTGTAAAAAATTCCTAAAATAAAAAAATAAATATACAACACAATGGGGAAATATATATGAAGCAAATTTTACGATTAAAGTCCAATTTAATTAGTTTATGAATTAATACCAAAATCATGAACCAAACCCATTGCCATCCAATAATTCCATCTCATCGTCATCCTATAGGGAATAGTAGACCTGTCCCCATTGGGTTTATCTGACTGTAGATCTTTACAGAAGCAGAGTGCCCCATCGATTTTTGGAGGAGTAGCCAGTGGGTTTGAACCACTGACTTTTTGGTTAGCATCCAAGTTCTTTAGCCACTGTGCTAGTCAGGCTCCAAATTGATAGGACAAAGAAGAAATAACCAAAATGGTCAACTAACTTATAAAAATTATTCTCAAATGTGGGATACAGAAAGGTTTTTCCTCTGGTTGTCCCCCCATATTATATGTCAAGCCTAAGACGCCGCTTGCTAACTCATGGTCCATGACGGTACACTTGGAAGTCAACTACTTAGAGGTTATCTGCCTGAGAGTTACCAGCCATCTCAAGCAGGGGTCCTCAAACTATGGCCCACGGGCCACATGCGGCCCATCGAGAACATTTATCCGGCCCTCCCAGTGTTTTTGCCCCATTTGTTTTTTAACTTCAAAATAAGATATGTGCAGTGTGCATAGGAATCTGTTCATAGTTTCTTTTTAAAACTATAGTCCGGCCCTCCAATGGGTCTGAGGGACAGCGAACTGGCTCCGTTTAAAAAGTTTGAGGACCCCTGAAGAGCAATCAGGCTCTCTAGTCTGTCCCACCCTAAGTAGGGCCCACTCCCTGCTGATAAGGATAGAGGCTTGTCTCCCAAAGACAAGGTCAAGCCAACTCAAGGAGGACCAAGGTTAGACTGCCATCTTGAATCTAGGGTTCACCCATCTTGTCTTGCCCATCTGTCCCCAGTCCTCCCCTTTGTATTGCGTGTACACCCCTCATCTATTTCCTGTCACACATATGCCTATAGTACAACACCTTCCTGTTATACATGTGGTTACCTGTAATTTCGGGGGCTTGCACACCCCCTAAGTGTATATAAACTTTGGTTGAAAATATATTCTTTCTCTGCACGGACTGGCTGCTGAGATCATGGCTCTCCTGGAGGTGAGCAATGGCATGCATTATCTTGTCTGATGTTTCTTTAATTTTACCCCTCAATTACACAACCGCCCCTTGGACACATTTGATTGTGGGGGCTGGTACCCCACACTCAACCACATTCACAAATCAAATCAAATCAAGTAGAAGCTTGGTAAAAATTTAAATATTTGGGTTGTCAAACCTCCAAGGAAACAAATTCAAACACTATGGTTATGTGCTAAAGCATGCCTCAATGAAAATATGCTTATTATGTGCCCTAAAAATGATCTTGATTTATTTTTATCATATATTTACATAAGTCAATAAAGAAATGTGAGTCTGAGGCAGATATATTTTTGAATTTTATATATTGAAGTTTCCAATATGATTTATTTTGAAATATAATTTTCATGGCTTAAAACAAAGCCTAAAACATTTAAAAGTTTTAAAGCCTATGCAATAAAGTTTCACAAAAGACATAAACCTATGGAGCTAAATTGCTGTGTTCTATGGATGGAAGAAATGGATGTGATAGAAAATCAAAGAAAGCTGAGTTCATATTCTTGTGATTTTAACTTTTTCACTTGGCCCTTCCTTTTGAAAGATGTAGTGCCTTCATTTTTTAATCATTTGGAGTTCTTTTCTAACAAAAATATCTTTATTGTGCCTGAAATCCTGTTTTCTCTCTTCCGGCTCTCCACTTCTCTCCCTACAATCAGACCATATTCATGCCCAATCCCACACCCACTCTGATATAGTTACTTACTTCCTCCAGTCTCCACCGGTTAAAAATTTTATTGTAATTTCCAGGGTGGCCTACAAATCTGTAAAAAAGGCATTTATAATTAATCATTAGCATTGATGTGGGAATAACTGAAGAACATCTTGTAATAATATATCCCAGCAAGTGCCTGTGTGGGTAGACATACATTTCCCCCAGTGCATCTTGTCCTCAAATGGCTGACTTGGTCATGCCTACCCAACATCAAACAAAAAGTAATGAGCGAACTTAATAGCGAATGGATGAGATGAAGCAACTGAGTGGCACTTTCTACTTCTGCATGTACAATTTTAATGTCAAGTTGAACTAGTAAATGAGTATCAGGATATGTTAAATTGTTTGGTTCAAATCCCCTAGCTTCCTTATATTTCCATGGTCCTGGCTGGATTCTTAAGCATATGGGGGTGGGGGGGGGGATGTCATTAGCTTCTTCTTCTTTTTTATATTTTCAGCAAAATTAGGGACAAAAGTTAAAATGATGGCATAGGTGTCTATACTAATGAAGTATAATCCAGGTATATGCAACAATTGTTTCCTTAATTGGCTAAGCTCTCATTGGTGATTACTTTAAAATAAAACTCACAGCCGTAGAGCCCATTCTGACCCATAGTGACCCTAAAGGGCAAAGTATGCCTAGACCTGTGGGGTTCTGTGGTTCTCAATCCCTTTAGAGTAGTAGAAAGTTTCGTCTTTCTCCTTTGGAAGAGATGGTTGGGTTCGAATCATTGACCTTGCAGTTAGCAACTCAAGGCCAAATTCCCTATACCACCAGAGCTCTTTATGTACAATTTATCTTAAGTATGAACAAAATAAAAAACAAAACAAATGTCAGAATATTGAATCTATTCTGATTCATAGTGACCCATAGGGAGGGTAATGTTGATCTTTATGGATGCAGACTGACGTAGCTTTCTACTGCAGGCTTGGCTGATGGGTTCTAATAGCTGCCTTTTTCATTAGCAGCTGAACACTTTAACCACTGTGTACAATTATGATATAGGCTTTATTTTTTATGACAAATTTCAATGTTCATTGCTGTTGGAAGAAATGTACTAAGAAGTCTTTTGAGCAAGAACATGTATGGAGACTGAATTTGCCACTACTATTAGCTAAGTGGCCAAGTATTAGCAGTTAATTTATTTGACACTGCAGAGATAATGTGTATGAACAGGACTTACCTCCCCAAAAAGAAAGCAATGTAGAAGATGGAACTGTTTAAATTGACAAACTGGAAGAGGAACATTTTCAGGGCAAAGCTATTTTCCCATTCGGATTCTGTTCGAGGATATTCTGAAAGAGCAAAGGGTATGTTATATGGGATGATAAATGACAAAGACATTGAACATGGATTCAGAAGACTCGTGTGCAAATTGGGCAGCACTTTACTATTTTGGCAAGGCACTGGTGATCACTGCGTGTATTTACATACCAACATTGTCAATAATATTTGTTAATGAGAGGGTCCAATTCGATCACCTAGTCTACAAAAATATGATGCTTGTGATTAATATTTAAAGATTTTAATGATTCTTTGTTGTCATTTCAAGATAACCATAACTATTGTATCAGTCCTTCACCCAAACAGACTGTGAGCAATGCAAATCCCCATGGTCACTAAGTCACTTCCAAGGAATAGTGGTTTCCTGGTGGGAACCTAAACAGAAGGAGATCGCCAGACCTTTCCCCTGCGTCACTGCAGTAGGTTTGAATTGCCCGCTTCAGGTTAGTAGTCTTGAGTACAAATTGTTTGCATCACCAAAGGATTTTCAAAGTCAATTAACTGAACCTAAGTTGTCAAAATAGTCCTTTGAATTATACTTATTAATTTTAATAAACTGGCAAAGTGAAACAGAGAGAGGGTTAGGTTAGTGAGAACAACAGTTCTTAGCACAGATGTGTACCTAATTTGCAGGTCATCTTAGATAGAGCTTGTCACCTTTATTTGGTGACTATTTTGTCACTTAGGGAATGAGCGATTTAGATAAGAGACTCTCTACGAATATTGTCAACCCTCATTGTATGGAGCTGTCCTAAAGGAATAAATAAGAGAGAGGTTGGATGACAGTATGTACTAGAGCACTCTGCTCCTCTGGAACCCAAATAAATAATAGAACATGCACACTTGAATTTAACATATCTTAAGTGATTGAAAAATTAAAAAATTACAAAATAGATGAGATCTCATTTAAGGAAAATATAGATAACCATCTATGCACAAGGCCAATCACGGGATAAGGAATAAAGGGATTTGGGGGAACTTAAAAGTCAAAAGAGCTAGGGACGGAAGTGGGAGGAGGGCCTTTGGGGCATGTGTGTCTTAAAGAGGGACTGGTTGATAAGCCTCAGTCAGAGTGATCAGGGGAGTTGTGACTTCTACACTGGTTTTAATATGTTGTGCCTTCACTGCTGTTTCTTTATAATAATCTTTAAATTGTAATTTTTTAATGCAATTTATTTGGAAATAAAATTAGGAAAAATTCCTAGAGTGTTATTTGTTTTTGGTTTTATAATTTATTGCATGATGATGAACATGTATATCCTGTGTGATATTTAGCCTTTACAATTTTGAGTCTTGTAAGAAAATACACTCACACAACCTCAAAGTGATCAATAAATGCAATGAAAGAATCACAAACTGCTAAGAATGAAGACTGGATTCACAAGACAGTAGCTTTTGAACTACAAAAAAGTCACTATGGTTTTATTGGATAAAATCATTCTAAGTGGAATCAAGGTTGCAAACCAAGGTGGATATGCGAGTATACTGAGAGCTTTTCAGTTCCTTCGTGCACTCTGGCAAGGAACACTGCAATGTTCCTAATAAAAAGGCCTTGCGATCGGTATGAAAGATTTGTATACTCCTGACTCGTACACTGATGCTCCAGTGAACTGTATCTTCCAGTAGGAGTTGCCATGCTCTCCCATTGACTCTGGTTTTGGCCATCAGGACAGTAGCAAGTGAGATACCAGCAGAGGCTTGATAAGCACTTGTTTACAGGGTGATGGACTCTTGGAAGGCAGAACCAAAAAACAATCCTATAATACTGCATTGGGCAAACTTAAGATAGCTTCTGGTGAGGTACATGGTGCAAGAGAAAGTACCAAGATGAGTAGAGTAGTCCCAACAATCACACATGAGGTGTGTCGGGAAGTGAGTGAGAAAGCTGCGGCTCCTGCAGATGTGACACAAAGCATGCAAGCACCTAGTGGAGTCTTTCAGCAATTGCTGTATCACGAAAAATAATGAACTATGTCTTAAGCTACCACTCTCTGAAGTTTCTCTTGGGCATCGGGTCACTATGCATAGGGCTATCTCAATGCCAACTAGCATCAAGAAGTTTGGAGTAATTTGCGTATACAAAGATAGATAGCCAAGACAATGATGTTTAGGGAAATGATGTCAAAATTTAGGATTAACCCAAAGTAAGTAACCTTTTTGGACAGAATATAACTTCCCCATAGGGTTTCAAAGTCATAGAATAGGCTGAATATCTTTTTCCCATGGAGTGGTGGATTTGAACTGCTGGCCTTTCAGTTAGCAGCCAAGCACTTCAGCACTGGGCTATCAGGGCCGCTAGGGTGGGATATACCAATTACAATTTAGAGTGAGTTTCCTCTTCCCACCACTCCTGCTCACCCTTCTCTTTCTTGCGCTCCGCTCCTCTATTTCTGAGTTTCCATTTCCCCATTAGTAAAGCCACTATAACATGTTGTAATTTGGCTGCTTGACAAATGACAAGTGTTTAAGCAATAGAAATGGTCTGTTGCATTGTTATCTGTGAGCTGTTGGTTCTTCAGCTGCATAATGAAGTGATTGAACTACATTGTCTCAGAACTCTCTTCCAGTTCTGATTTCTCATATTCTAGTTTATACCTCTGATAGAATCTAATCGGAGGAAAGGAATTTGGGGGATCATAATAGTAGGAAGCGGAAGAGCTATTTGTGCTAAGTACCAGATGTACCAAAGATTTCTTGTACAAAGATGTACCAAAGACTAGACTTTTCTGTCTAGTCACCAGGTGTTGTTTTGGGGTTATAACCAGTCAGCTCTAACTCACGGCGACGCTTCATATAATAAAAGGGAATACTGTCTATTCCTGCGCCATCTTCACAACTGTCGCTGTGTTTGAGCCCATTTTGGCAGCCACCGTGTTTCATTTCTATTTTATGTAAAATGAGATATATTATTATATTTGTTTAGGTTGTGTGCCATAGAGTTGATTCCGACTCATAGCAACCACACAGGTCCCTACAGGACGGCCTCATAGGGCTGTAATCGTCATGGCCATAGATGACCAGGTCTTTCCTCCACAGAGATGCTGGTGAGTTTGAACTCCTGGCATTTAAGTTAGCACTCAAGTGCTTAACATTCGTGCCACCAGGGTTCTGATGTGTGGTATGTGCACACGTAGACACACACACACACACACAGGAGCCTTCATGGCACCGTGGATTGAGCGTTGGACTTCTCATTGAAACCACTGCACACTCTTTGTGGGGATGGGGTTGGAGAGAGGTAGAGCAGAGGCTTTTGGCTTCCGTAAAGAATTACAGTCTTTGAAACTATGTAGACGAGTGCTACCATGTCCCGTCAGGGCATTGTGCCATAGAGTTAGAATCTATCCACTAGCATTGAGTTTGATGTGTTCGCATATATGTAGAAACACATAGATACATGCATTTGTTATGTAGTCAATTCAATTTTGATTACATGAATTTGTGATTCCTATTACAGATTAGATTTTATTTCTTAAGAAAAATCTTACGCTATTTTATTAGGAGGTGTTTTGGGTTTTGTTTTTAAGGGGCGTTGGTGGTGTATTAGTTACACATTGGGCTGCGATCTGCATGGTCTGCATTTCTGAACCTCCAGCCTCTCTCTGGGAGAAACACTGGGCTTTCTACTCCCTTAAACAGTTCCAGTCTCAGAAACCCAAAGGGAGTCACTGTGAATCAGCAGTGACAGATGGCAGTGAGTATTTGTTTTTGTTGTTATTGTTGTTGTTAGCGTTACATATTTTCATTTATTTTTGTTCTGATGATTTTATTTTAAACGCACACACACAAGAAAACAAAAACTAGAATGTTTCACTTCTTTCCTGTTTTTTTCCTATGGAAAAAATATAAAATACTGATCTGAAGTGATTTTTAAAATTTGATTTTGTGGACATTGAGAATTAATAAGGTACACAGTTGATTGATTCAAATAGTGAACTCTCTATATTTAAGATAAATCTGGTCTCCTAGGGATAAATAAGCCAACTGATGAAAGAATTTTGATTCAGTCAAACAATGGTCAAAACTACTTCAAAAGCCTGTAGTACCCGTCCACTAAGCACACTATTAAATTTAAGGAACAGAAAACTTGTTGGCTAAGAAAGCATAAGAATGTCATTTGTGCTACTGTGACCTTGTAGAATAACAGGCTTGTTATCAAAAACTGGCTCCATTAAGAGGTGAAAACAATGAGATATTTTGACCAGAAATGTATTTCCTTTGAAAACAGCACCATCATCTCAAAGTTTACAATTTTTCTTTTCTCACGGAAAATTCCACATGGGCCCAAATGTCCTCTATATGCGAATGACAAACTATATTAGAAAATAAAAGTTTGCTTATTTTAATAAACCAGAAGTAATGGTGAAATAGTTTTTCCACTGAGGAAATGGAGACTCGAAAGCAGAGAAGAGGAGAGGAGGTGGGAGGGAGGGAAGTCAGGAGGAGAAAGGGGAGGGACAGTGGCGGGAAGCGGACACCTGCTAACTGTAGGGCTCCTGAGAGCCCAGTGCTGGATTGCTTGGATGCTAACCTGCAGGTGAGAAATTCAAACCAACCAGCCATCCGTGGGAAAAAGATGTAGCGATCTATTCGAATACAGATTACAGATTTAGAAACCCCATGGGGCGGTTCTATTCTGTCCTATGGTCTGGCTGTGAGTTGAAATTGTCTTAATGATGAGTTTGATTTTGGTTTTGGTATATTCAATCTGAAAGTCTGCTCTCTTTATGTTTCATAACACTGGTCCTCTGATGGATATAATCACATAGCCCCAGAGTGTGGCCAAGCACTTACGATCTTTCATTTACATAATACACAGTCTGTTATTTTTCTAGTTTTAATTATATGGGTCAATATATTTTGAAGTTGAGTGGAATCAGTCACATTTAAATTTAAATTCAACTTGATAATTTTGTTTTTCTTATATATAAAACAAGAATCCTACTATTACAGAGATGTGATGAAACTTAAAAATATATATTGAATAAAAGGTATTGAGAGTAGTGCCTGA